GAGAAGGATATCATGTTTGGTAGGATGGCGGGTCAGAGAAAAAGAAGAACATCCCCTACCCCCCAACGAGATGGATTGACCAAGTGGCATCATCAATGGGCTCAAGCGTGGCAACAGTAGTGAGGTTGGCTCAGGATGGGGCAGTGTTTCATTCTGCTGTGCATAAGGTCGCTATGATCAGTACCAACTCAATGGCACCTAACAACAACAAGGTAACCACAATAGTGGGGTTGGGGTGGAGGGTTTAGTTCAGGTGTTGGGGAGAGCAATACAAGAAGGGGGAGGAGGTAGAAGAACAAGATCAATAGGGGAACACTGAGACAGTTTTATATGGCCTAAGTGGGACAGAGGTAAACAGTGATGCATGCTCAACCTTGGAATACAGGATCTAGGCATAGTTTGAAGAGGGGAAATAATACTAAAATGCTTGACTGTCTTATGAATATTGATTTCCCTTGCCTACTATTGTAAACCATACACTTGAGTAGGATAGAAATGAATGTTGGGAAACATGATTACAGAAAATTTGTTAACCCATCTTCAGCCTATAACTGATTGAAACACCTAAAAGGGGTTCTAGAACTTGCCCAGTGAAATAAGCCTCTTGCAAAGCCTTTTCAGAGTATAGGACCTTAGGTGCAATCCTGAGTCCAATTCAGAACCTTATGAGGTGGGACATTCCCACTAGCAAGGACAAGCAGACTAGCCTAGAACAGCTAGAGCAACAGAAGATACATCTTCAAAGAAAGATCATCAGGAAAAACCCAAAACAAAAATGTCAGCATGACTGGCTACTACAAGAATAATCAAGCTGTTCGACAGGAAGCCTTCAAAGCAAATAATCAAGTTCCTTCAGGACAAACTCCCCTCTAAGACTGAAACTCAAAGGGAACACATGAACAGGCATGTAAGCTTGCTGGCGGCCACATTGGTCTATTGGTGAGTGGAAGAGGGCAGCAATGAAGAAGTGGGCTGAGTTCAACCACAGTCCATTGACTCCCGTTGACCTGGAGATGAGAGAGAGAAGAGGAAGGGCTTGTTGGTCCAAAGTGTGGTGACACCTGGGGACACTTGAGCCCATGGACAAGGACTTAGCCACAGAGGGCTAGAGCTGAGAGTGAAGCATCCAGCTGATATGAAGTGAGGGGAGATAGATGCACAAGAACACCCAAACTTGCAGTTTTGACCTAGCCTTGATGGATTGATAATCAGAATTCGACTAGAGTAAGATTACCAAAAAAAAAAAATTTTTTTTTGGATAAAGGAAACAAGGGTAAATGGCTACAATTTGATCAACCTGACCTATACTCATGGAGGTAGTAACTCTAAATACCAACAGAGAGGGAAGGAGTAGCTAGCCCCTCTGTACACAGGATAGGGACCTGCAA